GTGATCCCCTCCTGGGCGAACTCGGCCTCCCCTTCCTTTGCTAACGATGTCCGGCAAGGTCCTGGTCGCAAACTTCTGATCAAACCTCCCGCCTTTACTTCGTTGACCGCTGTAGGCACTTCTAAGCACATCTGGTTATATCGAAGCATGTATTTCCGCAAAGACTCCTTCTCGCCCTGCAGCATTGCCATCAACGTGAGATATGTTTTCTCATTCACCACCGCGCTGAGTATTGGTTGGTGAGTTGTCCGGCAAAATCTTCGAAGTCCCTCATCGACCTCGGGGCAAGCTGGTGAAACCAGTTGAGCGCGACCCCAGCAAGGTCGATAAGAACGCCCTACAGCTGACTTTGGTCTGAGTGTCCGTGCAAGACAGACATATTCTCAAACGCCCTCACGTGTCTCGACGGATCGTTCGACCCATCAAAGATCATATTTATCTCCCTCAAACTTGCAGGTAGAGGTGCAGCTAAAATCTCCCTCGAGAACGGGTGTCCTCGAGCACGCCTATCTGGCCTCCCTTCCAGTTTTTCTTGCATCTGGCGGAGTTTTTCGGCCATCCTTTCCATCACTCGGTCTCTGGGGTCTGCTCCACCGCTGTAACTCGACACGTCCTCCTCTTGAGTTCCCGCCACCGTGGTTGGTGTGGCAATAGCCTGGGAAGTCTGGTGGGTGACCTGTTGCACAACTTGCACCGCCGCGTTGGCCATCATCCGTTGCATCTCTTCCCTCGTCATAGTCACCGTTTGTTGAGCAAGGGGTTGTGGTGCTCCTCCTGTTGGTGGCGCCTTCGTCTGCGCCACTGGTCCAACCTGTTGCGTCATGACCGGGCCTGCTTGAAACGGCGCGAGAACCGCCATTGGTGCTGCTTCACGAGCTTCGTGCTCTCTGCTCGTGCCTTCTCCTCCGCCTGGAATCGCCACATTTTGAGGAATCGATGTTGGGGTCACCGGTGTTTGTAATGGTGGGAAAAAGCCAGGGGGAGGACCCGTTCCCATCGATCTAGTCGTCGTCCATGCCTCATCAAACGACGACTGCAAATTCACTCGAGGAATTCTGTCCTCCATAGCTGAGCTCAGAACACAACTTTTCGAACAGAAGTCCCACAGACGGCGCCAATAATACAAGTCTAACGCCCAACCAACCGAGAACCGCTTCGAGCTTGCCTTCCACGCCTGTAAAACGCTGAAGCTGTACGCAACTCTCACACCGGAGGTGTTTTCCAGTGAAGAGCCTCCAACGCTCAAGTCAGATCTTGAGAGGGATGAAAATATAAGTGTAAGTGTATAAGAGTATGAGAGATTGTGTGTAAAATGGGAGTTCTTGCCCCTATTTATAGGGGCGAGTTACCTGTTCTCTACGCTCGGCTTGGGAGAATCCAGTTGATAGCCCTTCTGCTCGTCCGTACGATCACGCACCTCCACTATACTGGTGTCAGAAAATGCGTTGCAGTGCGTCAGGGAATGTCAGAAACCGTTATCGCCCTGGACCACTCGTTGTGTGCCGTGTGTCCCCTCTCCACGTGTTGGAGATTCTCTTGTCTATCCGGATGTTCGACCAAATCTCCCGGGAATGCCAAGCTGCCCCTGAAGTGTGAGGTGGTCGAGTCCACGACCACGCCCATCTGATCGTTCTTCTTCAACCAAATCCTCGAGCCCCTGGTACTTGTCTGAGGTCGCCAAACTTACTCTTCTCTATTGCCTTCTTCTTTTCCTTCATTGCGGATTCCCGGTCCGAGTCGACTAAGCCGTTGGTCTGTTTTAGTCGGCTGTCCTGATGAACCAATCTATTATATAATACCCCATATCAAGGTCGTAACCCCAGAGAACCGACGTCCGTTTCAAACCACATTAAATACCCGTCCATCAAACGTCTCGACCCACGTAAAGGCATCATTGCGGGGGGACCCACTTACTGGAAAAGTTGCGCCTATGCTGTGACAACGCATTAAATGCCGCCGAATCTCCTCAAAATACGGGTCGGGAGTTATTATAAATAACAGAATTAAACTCGATACAAGGATCCCTTTCGGACACATTAAGTACCACATTTAACACCTCGGTTTTTGCCAGAAACTGACTTTATGTGTAAACAAAAAACCGACCTCATGTTCGAAAATACCGACTTGTAACTCCACAAAACCACACTATACTTTATCAATAAAATCATCTTAATTCCGCCCTAATCCTTTACTTAGTAACTTAAATAGTTGGTAAAATCTGTTTATCAACACAAAAGATGAACAGAGGATCAAGTAAATTTGGAAACTCTAGATTTCTGATGAACATGCATACCGTATATAGTTGTATATATATTAGTTTCACGAGTTCTGGTAGAGAGTGAGTCATTCTATTATTCATTCAGAGAGTTTAGAGTTTTATTCATTGAGAGTCGTGAGTTTTTTTCTTATATTTTATAGAGTGATCGGATTCCAACATGAAGGTTCATTGTTTGTAATTCGAGCTGTCAGTATTTGTTTTCGTTCCTACTTGATGCTTGGGAAGAGCATCTTCATACTGCTTGAGACGAGCATCTTCATACTTGCTACATTTCTTAATGCAGTTGTCGTTTTGTTAGGTTGTGGTCCTACAGGTACCGATATCGTTTTGTTAGGTTATGGTCCTACATAGTCGTGGCATAATATTTGTAATGGACTTGGATATTGATATATTATGATATTCGACAAACGTATTTGCAAAACGTGCCGCCAAATGAGGATCAATACTCTCGAATTCGGCCAAGTAACACAACTTTTAATGATTTAATTGTTGCATTAAAATTAAATTTAGCTATGACACTAACATCATGATCCCAAGCGTGATAGAATTGATTCGATTAAATACAAGTCCATTAGAGAATGAAGGTCAACGCAAGGCAGTCTTATTTTAATACTTAAATGAAACATGAGCTTGAATGCTTTTCCCACTATAATATTCACACGAATCATATGACTATGAGAAAAGTGTGAAACAATCTTGTCATAAAATTCGGTCTAATCATACTGAATTAATAGGCCACAATGAATTACTCTAACAGAATCTGACCTTTTACGTTCAATTTGTTACTTAAATTTGTATTTATGAATTTCAAATTTAAGTAATAATTTTTGTATTTTAAAATTTATTACCGAGTTGAAAAGAAGATAATTAAGAAAAACAAAGGGGGGACTATAATTTTTAATAACATCACTCATTAGTATTTTATTAGAGATAATTAGTATTATGTTATGTAACATAATAGTTTCTAAGTTCTAACATAATAATATTAAAATTATATAAGATAATTCATTATATATTATAATATATAATAATTTCTAAATTCTAACTTTAGATAATAAATTCTAATTTATAACATAATATCTAAATTCTAATATAATTTATATAATAAATAAAATTTTGATTTAAAAAAAATAAAAAATAAAAAATAAAACCGCCGGTCGTGCATGGTGCGGCCAACTGGGAAAAAAGGCCATGCACGGTGAGGCCAACCGAGAAAGAAGGTCGTACACGGTGCGACCAACCGTCAAAACTGGCCGGTACGGTTACGACCGGTCTCGCTGCCGGCTGACCGGAATATTTTTTATTTTTTTTACTTTTTAGATAATATGTTAAGGACAAAACTGTCAGTTGAGGGAGTCGGTATTTAATAACATCCATATTAAATAGGTAAAAGATGATGTCTACAACGTAAGTGCATACATAACATTTAGGTCTTCCATTGGTACTGGCGTCTAAAAATGGCCACATCTTGATACCCATGCGCCTGCCCATCCCCAAGACCACAACGACATCCTCTTTCACACATAATGCATTCAAAATGCCTCCTAGAGACATGAATGCCATTGTGTACATGTGACAATGAGTTGGTAATTCTAATGAATTGCTAAACACCGCCCCCTTATACCGTTTTGCCCATGCAGTTTTCCAAAACACTCAAACAAACAAACAAAAAAAAAAAAAAATCAGGCCGGCTGGCTACTGCTCGGACAACCGCTAACGCCGGCCGGCCAAATTTTTTTTTCCAAATAAAATTTTTATTTATAATAGAAATTTTATTAGAATTAAGAAATTATTATGTTATACATTAAAATTTATTATTATTACGTTGGAAATTAAAAATTATCATGTTATAAATTAAAATATATTATATTATAGAATTTATTATTATTATGTTAGAACGTTATAAGTTAGATTTGATTAACTTGTAAAATTATTTTTTACATTATTTAAAATTTAATTAGTATTAGAAATAAATTTTTATTTCTAGAAGAAGTATTATTTTGAAATATAACTATAAATAATTATATTATTTAATGTATATGTTTGTAAATAGATAATAATTATAAATGTTATATTATTTATTTACAGATAATTAATATTATGTTATACAACATAATAATACAATTACATAAGATAATCAATTATAATTTATAATAAAATAATTTCTAAATTCTAATTTACAACATAATGAATATCTAAATTCTAACATTATTTATATAATAAATAGAATTTGATTAATTAAAAAAAATTGAGCAGCCAACCGGCCAACCCTGCCGTGCACGGTGTCGGCCTCTTCTTCTCGTTTCCATTCCAATATTGTCCTTTTATCATGTGTGTACTTTATTTTTTATTTTAACTTGCTAAGCAATGAGTTCTGTCTCATAAACTTGGCGAGACGACATTTTCCTGATTTACTCATCATAAACAGAAAGCTGCTAAAGCTGCAACTATTAAATTCTTCAGACACCAACTGATCCTACCAACTTATTTTACAATACCTTTCACTCAAAGATAATTTTACATGTACCAGAAAATGAAATTGCTATTCAGACACCAACTGAGTTACTTGTTTCAGCCTCTCCGCGTCTCGACTATCTATCAAGAGAACAAAACGAGCGCATAAGTTCAATTATCATCTAAAAAATGAAGATATCTCGCGAGTGAATACAAAATATAGATACCAATATCGTCGTATTGCCAAAAAACAAACTGGTATTTAGTATCACATCTTGGCTGCCTTGTTAAATAATATGACCTCATTTTCTATTTTGACCATGTCCTTGATAACTAAAACCCAAGTTTCAGAAACTTTCTCCAAATTCCCATCGACTATGTCAGCTATGGTGAACGACCGCAAGGTGCCTTTGAAATCTGATGCTATGGCTGAGCTCATTTCGCTACTTATATGGCTTACTTGCTCTTCATTGCTAATTGTTTTAATCCTAGGAACAACTGCCCCATTGAGATACACTGTGCTGTCATCCCCAACTACTATCATTTTCCGAACACCTTTTCCATATGCCAACTCTTTATGCATGTGACCAAACACTACTAACTTGATTGGCAATTTGGTGCTCGCTTTTAGCTGGGATAACGCAACTGCCAAATCTGTACATCATTCATCAGACTTTCTTTCTGAGTGATTTACGCACACGGAAGCATTTATATTAATTAAAAGGCATAAATAATAGGCTGAGTTGCAATTTCGGTCCTGCAACTCTTCGAAAATTAGCAGTTGTAAATGCTTTCAAAAGAGAATTTTCTCTGGTGGAGCTTTCGCAGGAACTTCTCAATATTTTGACATTTATGGCTGTTTATGAGTTAATTAAATATTGGAACAAGCATTCGGGGCCAAAAATTCGCCATATTGAGAACTTACACGCTCAATATATTCAAAATTCGCATGTACTACCAAATTAAAAGAAGGTAGCCTCTTATAGTTGCAGGACCAATTTATCAATTAAGCCAATATAATATAGTTACCAATATTTAGCATTACCAGGATCTCCATGGTCACCACCTTCAGGAACCCAATCTCTTCCACAGATATCATCCACGTTGGAGCCCAGACCTATGCAAAGTTATTCTTCTTCTTATTAACGTTAAGCATTTCTTAAGTACTTACAGACAAAGAGCGTTTGCTTCACAAACCTGTAGGCCCATTATGAGCAAGAAATATAACCGAATGATCTGTATGTGTTTTTAAAGCTGCTTGATAAATCCTCTTTGCGCTTTCATCCATATTATGGACACCATACCTACAAAAAGTAAAGTAAATGCAACACAGACTTGAAAATTCAGGGAAGTCCAAGTTAAAGAAAACCAAATTTAAACTAATCTGTCAGTTTATAAAATTTTATAAAACCTCTGTTTTTGTTTCCTTTCAACAGATTAATAATAATAACAAAAGAAAAGGAAGTTCACAGAAACTTGAGCTTAAACTGAAACCAAATATCATCACACAACCCAAATTTCCCTAATCATATTTTGTTAGTCCTTTTTTTTTTTTTTGGA